TCGATGCGGACAATCCTCCTCCATGCCCGCCTCGCTTCCAATTCCTGCCATCTCCCGGAAAAACGTTCCACGTAGAGGACCCGGAGAACCTACTTCAGTACTTCAAAGTTCTGCTGGACAATCAGCTGATTGACCTGATGGTAACGGGAACAAACAGGTACGCTGCTCAGTTTCTGTCATTCAAGCGGCTGAAGCTGCACTCCAGATTTAGAAGCTGGGTTCCTACTGGGGAGATGAGAGTGTTTCTGTCGCTCTTGCTGCTTCAAGGAGTAATTCAGAAGCCAGAACAAAGCATGTATTGGAGTCAGCACAACCTGGTGAGCACGCCTGTATTGGGCGACACGATGACCCACAACCTTTTTTTCTTATCAGGAAGATGCTGCATTTTGTGAACAATGAGGCTCCAGTCGACCCCGAGAACCACCCACAACCGAAGCTTTGGAAAATATGGCCATTTCTTTCATGCCTTGTCCAGAACTTTCAGACATTGTACGTTGCTGAGCGCAACGTTTCCATCGACGAGAGCTTGATGCCCTACAAAGGCCGACTTAGTTGGCGGCAGTATCTACCTCTCAAAAGAGCAAGGTTTGGAGTGAAACTTTTCCTCTTGTTTAAAGCAGAGTCAGTGTACATCTGGAACCTTACAGTGTACACAGGCAAAGGTACTAATACTGCTACACGGCATGAAAGAGACGCTCAGCTCCCAATGGGAACCAAAGTGGTTCTCAAATTGATGGAGCCACTGGAGGGCAAAGGACACTGCCTCACAACTGACAATTTTTAGACATCCCCAGGACTCGTGGACATTCTGATTGAGCAGAAAACAGACATTTATGGAACAGCCCGAGCAACAAGAAAGGACATGCCCCCACCTTTCAAGAAGGCAAAACTAAAGAAAGAAGAGGTATAGGCATTTCAGAGGGGGAAATGCACTGCCATTCAGTAGAAGGACAAAGGTTGATAACCATCCTGAGCACTGTCCACAGTGTTGACATGGTGCAATTCCTAGATTCAAAAGGTCGCACTGTCAAGAAGTCTTCTGTAGTCTGCGAATACAACCACACAATGGGAGGGGTGGACTTGTCGGACCAGATGCTCGCAACATATCCGATTGCCCGAAAACGTAAAAATATTTACTACAAGAAATTTTTTCGACAGTTCATGGATGACACTGCGCTGAACGTATTCATCCTCTACAAGAAGGATGGCAGCAAGATGTCCAATCTGAAGTTCAGGCTTTCGCTAATTGAGCGATTGATCACGAAGTACCGTGACAGCAGCCAGGTGCGAAGGCCCGGTCGACCACGGACGTCCGAAGAGGAGCGACTAACAGGGCGGCGCTTTCCTTTTTACCTGCCACCAACACAGAAGAAACAGGAGCCCACAAGGAGGTGCACCATGTGCAGCCAGACGGAGGAAACAGGCAAGAAGGTTTGTAAAGAAACAAGGACGTGGTGTGACACCTGTAAGAAAGCACTTAACGTGATCCCCTTCTTCAAGCAATTCCACAGAGTCCAGAACCTCAAAGAAGGTGGCTATATCGTGCTCGGTGTTTCAGTGCAAAAACATTAACAGGACTCCCCTAATTTACTGTTTTCCATAACACTCGGCCCCAGAGGATGTAAGATGCCTCCGGCGTATGTGGAAATGTAAGATGCTTTGCACATGCATGCAACTGTAACAATGTTCATGTTCACATAGAAATATACTGATTTTTGCATAATAAACTTCTAACCCGTGCTTCTAACGTTCTAACCCGTGCTCGTCCTGAGCGCGCGCTAGCTTGACCCGCCTCACGAGCCATCTTTATTGTCGTCCTTTTCAATCCCCACAACTTTTAAAGTATTATCTGTGATACTGAAGGAATAAAACTCATAAAGGAAAAAAAACTTGGCATTTTTAGGTCACTTTTACAAAAATAAACGTGGCACTTAAGGGTTTAATATATATAAACAATGTCACAGCTGCAGTAAAGGAGCCCGTTAACATACAGTTATTTGAGGATGATTGTTCTCTTTTTCAGAAAATTTCGTCCCAGAAAGATCAGGAGGTTCTGAACCCATGTCTAGCCAGAATTTCAAACTGGTGCACTATTTGGGACATAAAGACAAGACGGTACTCCGAGTAACAAATAAAAAGAAGCCTTTCCAGTTTACTTATAGCATTGACAATACAAATATCCTAGAAGTAGACAAGTTTAAGTACCTCGGAGTGACAATTACAAAAAATTTAAAGTGGACAAGTCATATTCAAAACAGTTGTTGAACGGCACACCAAAAGCTTGGTTTGAGTCACCGCAAACTTAGGAATACCCTCTCTGATGTCAGGTTATTGGCTTACTATTCACTAGTCAGACCTAAGCTAGAACATGGGGAATATTCTGGGACCCGCACACAGCCACTGACATTAACATTTTAGAAAATTTACAAAGGAAGTGTGTGCGTTTTATTTTTAAGAAGTATGACACCCATTTGACTCGCCTACCTCACTTATGAGGGCGAACAATATCCAACTGTTAGCGGACCGCAGAAAAATAGCGAGATTTAAGTTTTCAGTTCTTATTTTGCACGAAAAGCTGGGTCTGGCCCCCTTCCTTTCGCTAAAATACTCTGATTCCAGACCTACTCGACATCGTCATAAGTTTTCTTTAACTCCCATATTCGCCCGGACTAACACCTTCAAAAATTCTTTTTTCGTGCGTTCTATATCAGACTGGAACAATCTCCCAAGTGATTTTTTTTTTTTAAAGCGACTTTCCAGCCATGCTAGGTAGTTATCTTTGATAACTGATGTGAGTGTGTGACGTACAGTGTTCATGCAAAGTGTAAATGTGTGTGTTTATAGTGGCACAAATGGTAGAGTGAGTGCCAAGTGCACTCATGCGCGATGTGTCTGAATCCTATGACGCGGTCAGTTATAGCAGCTTTTGTGTTTATAATGAGTGTGTTTTCATTTGGGTGTTGCCCTTCCTGCTTGGGCCATTTCTGGCCTGCAGCATGTACAAATAAAAAAAATTAGAATGCCAAACACCGATGTCCCTTGTTCCGCGCTCGCTTTCAAATAGTGAGTAGAGACAAGGGCACTTAGCTCTGTGTCTATCCACTAATCGTTCCAACCAGAGCTGGGTGTTTTGATGTCCCCGCTTGCCCTCGCCTCTTCCTCCCTTTCTGTTTCTACCCGTATACTTCTCCATTTAATAAAACTCTAAATCTGCTCATTGTCGTCGCTTTTCTGTTTTATAATTGCTATCAGACCATCACAATGACCAACATGTGATAAATAGAGCTATAACTAGGGTCATTACTTGCAAACCCTCTGCTGAAGAAGTTGCAGTAAGGAAGAATTTGAAAAATCGAGTCAGGTTATAGAAGCAATCAGTATGTTCATTAGTGACCGAAAGACTTGTGTTACGAATGAATTCAGCTTAATTGTCAATGAAGTGGGGCATGACACTGAGGCTCTAACATACTTATAGCATACAAGGTGAGGTTGATGTGAGTACAGCAGTTTTTTCCTCCTACATAAAGACCTTAAGAACCATTGCCTGTTCAGCTATTTTTTCTTGTCAGAGCCCAGTTGGCCGATTCATCGCATAGATACGGCAAAAACACTTTCTCAGCATTGCTCAAAGCTTGTCAATAAGCGAAAATGCAAAGGCATCGGATATTTTTATTGAAGTATCGTAGTGGGGTCTACAAACAGTGTTATTGCCGCACCGTAGCAGTGACATATTATAAACCCGGCTCAGAGTATATTTCGTTATTGATCGCAATAGAAGACAAATATTTATAGACTCCCCGCCATTAACAATGTTATGAGTGGTGTGCTGTTAACGGTCACTGTTCATGACTTTCCTAGCTTGTGCAGTCATTGTTTCAAGAAAGCTTCTCCAGTTGGTCACTATGAAAAAACTTAGTTTTCCAGCAGCGAAACGCATTGTTGCACTTATATCAATTGCATTCATATTTTATTGACCACTGAAGTTGTCCTGCTATTTCTAGTTACTATAATTGGCAGACAGCCATGCAGAAAAGGGTGCACTAGCCTCATGTCACAAATACTACTTTTATTAGAGAAAAGTATGATGGATGAAAAACATCTACTTGGCTACCATTTACAAGTTTTGAATGTTTCTATGGTTGGTTCTAATTACCTTGCATACTTGGTAAGAAAAAGGGGAATATTATAATATATACAGCTTATTGAAACAAACCTTGAGACCACAGCAATGATTACAATCAGTATATAAATGTTAATAACTTAGCCTTGTTCATCACTGCATTACCTATTAAACACTGTCACATTGTTAAAGATATGCCTGATTATAACCATCGCATTCAACATACTCTGCAAAGCCAAATCTTCAATGAGATGACCAAAAGCAAGGATGCAGTACTCAGCTCTTGTATAGCACTAAACACGTTTCCCGTTTGTGATGTTGTGATGGGTCGAGTTAATGAAGCTTTAGAAAAAACTGTGTAGTATTAAATAAACGAGAGAAGAACGGCCGCCATGTCGGTTACCCGCCAGTTCTGAAAACTGATCTGCGCGTGCCCAGATGTCCTCTTCTACGACATCATAACATGCCCCCCCCCCCCCCCTTTTTTTTAATAACAGAATTAAGTTTGGATGAACTTGTCAGTCATTTTAGCATACCGGCTGGAACGCAACATGCTCACTTCTTATAGTTATTTGATGGTGCTGTGGATCCGGGCTCGGAGGCCTTGCGGACCTGAAAATGCTGTCAGGCGATTGGTCTAAGGGTTGAACAGTTTCTTCTACTATACTGTAGGCAGTAGTCTTCGACAGCCGTAATAATTTCTGCTGTTCCATGTGCTTCCTTGATGTAGTATCCGTTGTGCCTGTAAGAACGTTCATCCTGTGCTTGCACAGTGAATGACGTCTCGCCCGGGCCTCTGCTCAAGACTACACCTCAGTTCCGCAGTCCTCTTCTCTTGAGCCAGACTTCCTGTTGTGGCTGTAGTGGCAAAAGTCCTTAGTTATCCGCTTTGAACTGGAAGTTCCTTCCAGTTCGAAGTTGGCTTGGCTTCGAGCGCTTCCTCGTGCTTGGTCTTTAACACCTGCAGCTCGGCTGACACGGTATCGGCTGCTTCCTTCAGGTGTTCCTCGATGTGTTTCAGCTGCTTCTTCTTCTGGTTCCACTTGCTCTCCTCGGCTCGAGACTGCTCCTCCAGGGACTCATACCGCCGGGAGAGTTCCTCTATCTCGACTCGGTTTGCTGGTGCCTCCGAAGTTCCCGCTGTACCCCCAGTGTCCTCGGTGACATGTTCCATCAAGGCTCCCATTTTTTGGTTTGGAGCCTGTACCAGCCGCTCTTCAACCTTGAGATGCTTCTCCTTGAAGAGACTAAAGCGCTCTTGCAAGTGCTGGTTTGATTGCTGAAGCTCTTGCAGCTCCTGCATGGTCTTTTGACCCACAGCGCCCCACTGCTCCTCGAAAACTGCGAGAGCTTGTCTGGCTGTAGCCCACACTTCTGTGAGCTGTGCGCACTTGTCCTCCAGATGGCGTTTCTCTTGGGCTGCCGCGTGAAACTCTTCCTGCAGGTCCCTGTGTTTGTATACAATGTGGTTACACTTGTCCAACAGCTGGGAGTAGTCTGTCTTCAGCGCTGACAGTGTATCCTCATACTTGTCCGCTTCGTCCAGAGCCCCGCAGTGCTCGTTCTCCAGCTCCTTGGTGGCCTTGACGTGCTGCTCGCGCTGAGTCTTCAGTTCCTCCTCGAGGCAATGTCGTGTCTGTTTCAGGCTCTCTGCCAGCTGTTGAAAATCTTCGTTGTCGTTGACGAGCATCTCGGCTTGCTCCTTCAGTCTGGAAAGTTCTGAACGCAAAACGTCGGCTCTGAATTCCAGTTTTCCGTTGCGTTTTAGGAGGCTGCTGACTTTCTCGTCCAATCTGGTGCACTCTGTTTCTGCCTTCTCAGTAATGGAGCTTTTGGCTGCTTCCGTTTGCGGCGAATTGTGACACTTAACAACATTATCTTTCTCTCTCAAAGTCTCCGCCACCTCTTGGTATCTCTGCTGCCAGAGGCGACTTGCATTAGACAAGCATCTCATTTTTTCACTCACGTCTTCACAAGATGATTTGCACTGCTGACTTTCTTGTGCGAGGAGCTTGTTCCTAACTTTCAAGGATGTGACCTTTTCCTGGAGCACTGCCAGCAGACAGTTCAAGTCTTCCAGCTGACTTGCTTCAAGAGATACTGCAGCTTCTGACGACTGGTTGGTGTGCTCGATGATGCTCCAGACAAATGCCCAGAGATCTTGTGACGGCCACTGGTACCGGTCCTCTAAGGACTGATAGTTTTGCTGAAGTAGATTGAACTGCTCCTCTTTTTTAGCAAACTGGTTTTCCAGGGCCTGTCTTTTGTGTTTGGCACTGTTCAGTAGCTTCTTGAGGTAGTCAAAGGCACTGAACTCTTGTTGTTCGGAATCATTGTCAACTACTGGCAAGTCCTTGCCACACTCTTGAAGAAGGACATCATGCAAGATGCAATACTCGGCAGAAAACCTTTCGAGCTCAAGCTGAGGGGCTTCGAACTTCTCCTTCAGGGTGTCTGCTTCCTCCGCCTTGGCATCTACAAGCTCCAGCTGCTTTGCCAAGTCCCAACTTAGAGAAACTAGCTGGGCTTTAAATGCTTCAGACTCCTGAGACTTGGCACGAGAAAATACTGCTTGCTGTGCTTGCATCTCCCCCAGGAGAGCCGAAGCTGCCTTGTACTCGCTTTGAAGGGCCTCCTCACGGCCAAAGCTCGCTTCGGTATTTCTCTCGTGCTCCAAAGACATTCGCTGCATTTCTGCCTTTGCCAACACTAACTCTTAAAGCCGGCCTTTTCCCTCTTCGGCGCAAGATGCCAGTATACTCTTTTTTTGCTTTGACCGCCTCTCCAGCTCTGTATCAGGTTGCGCAAGCTTGGATTTGAGTAGTTTGGTGTTCTCCACGGATTCCACTGCCTCTTTACTTCGTAGCTTTTCCGCCTGGGTCTTCGAAATATCATTAATGTATATGCGTATATGCTTTCGTACCATGTTGTTGCTTTGGTTGATGCAAGAGGCCCAGTTGTTATAACTCCCAAATGGATTGTTTCGTTAGGCTCATTGTCTATGAACGAGCTGGAAGTTCTTTCCAGTGCAGAAACACGCCGATATCCGTGGGTCTTCTGTTCTGTTTGGCTGCACATTTTTGAAAAATGCCCAAATTTCCCACAGGAGAAACAGTGCTTGCCATAGGCTGGGCAGCTTTGAGGCTGATGGGAAGTGCCGCATCTTGAACATGTGCCCTGCTGTCAGTTGTTGACTTGCTCCCGTTGAGATGCAGGGTGTTGGTACCCTGGTTGAGGTGCTCTTAAGTTAGCAGGCTGATGATAGAGTCCATCAACCCTGACTTCGACTTCGGTCTTTTGGATATCTCTTAGGTGTTTTTTGGATATTTCTGCAGCTTTACAAGTTGAGATGATTTTATGTAGAGTTAAGTCCTGCTCACGGAGCAATCATTCACGCAAAGCTGTGTCTCTTATTCCAATGATGATACTATCGCCAATGAGGCTGTTTTCTTGAGGACCGTAGTTGCACTTCTGAGCTTGGAGCTTCAGATCAGTTACAAACTCATCGACGCACTGTCCTGGCTTTTGAATCATGGCGTTAAAAAAAGCTGTCGCTTGGATGACGGATTTGTATGGAGCGTACAGTTCATTAAATTTGCGCAAAATATAGTTGACTGCGTTTTCAGTTTGTGCTGTTTGTGAAACTCCCAATGGTTGCGGAGGAAAGGTTTATGCTGTCCGTCTCACCTGAGGACCAAGGCAGTGGAGCAGAAGAGCCTTCCAAGTGGCGATTGGCTTGGACGCGTAATCGCAGGCTGCCTCGAAGATGATGTATGAGGATTGCCATTCCTCCCATGCCCTCACTGAGTCATCACCAGGTTGGAAAGGAGCCGGTGGTTGAAGGAAAGCGGATGCCATTGCCATAGTTTCGCTGCTGCTGTTGCTTGTTGCTTTGAGATTTAGGAATGTTCGCTCACTTTTGACACCATGTTCTGTTGTGATGGGTCGAGTTAATGAAGCTTTAGAAGAAAACTGTTTAGTATTAAATAAACGAGAGAAGAACAGCCGCCATGTCGGTTACCCGCCAGTTCTGAAAACTGATCTCCGCGCGCCCAGATGTCCTCTTCTTCTACGACATCATAACACTGTTCACAAAAATGTCTTGTTCGGCACAACATTTGTTGGTCAGAGTTGTAACATTTCATTTATCGTGAACTTTAAGAACTGTTGGTATTGAAGAAATAAATTTGGAAATTATCATAAAGTGACATTTCGAGCGTTAGGGTGAGTTTGAAAACCAGCTACTGAGAGCACCGACAGCTCTTCTTACTGTTGAAATTAAAAATGCTAATCCATTGTCCTCATTTTGTTTATAAGTATAATATTCAACTTTGCTTGCGATTATATATTTCCAAGTAACACATTTCAGGCAAATTACTTTTTATCTTGATATGTTGAGACGACGACTCTGAGCAGCAAGATGTGAAATGAGGGATCTTCTTGATTACCACTATTATCTTTCACAACATTGCACTTACATCTGGCAAGAAAGAGAGTTGCTGAACAGGAACTCGCAAGGTCAGTTGCCTATAAAAAGGCATAGCCACTCCCTGCTTCAGCTGCAAGGGGCAGTCTCTGAGAATCAAAATCGACAAACTTCAACAGCACTCACGCCTCACAAGTGGTGCATTTGACATTTTGTACTTACAAGGTGTTTCACCTGTTAATAGTCATTACCTTCCTGATATGCAATATAGGCTGCACATGACCTCACAATAGTACAGAAACAACTTTCATATGCCAAGATATGCAAGTGAGTCTCATATTCAACCGCCCTAATATTTTCTTCATAAAAAGGTGAATGCACGGGTCCTAACTTTCAATAGAGAAGACGCCTCAGCAGAGAATCTGCAGTTTTTGGACTTGCGCCTGATCTCCTCGGCAGAGGGCATCTGCTGGAGCTTCCAACAACGTTCACAGAAGCCTGTGCTTCCGTCTGCAAGCTACCACTCCAAGACAGACAAGGTGGGGATCGTAAAAAGTCTAATCTCATCCTCTCACTCCAAGTCCTGCCATCACCTCTCGGCCTCTAGCCTGGGGGGGCCAGATTGGCCGATTGATAAAGGCCGGATATCCCCACAACCTGCTGTCAGCCACACTGAAAAGGCTAATAACCGAGAGGTCCGCTCCCCATAACCTGCTCGACCGAAATTCGTAGTCTTCCCATACAATCACAACACCGTGCATCGGTCTAAAAGCAGCCACCCGACGGATCGACACTGAAGTCGGGTTCACATGTCTGTTCAAGCTGGGCACGATGTGCTGCCTCACCAACAACGCCCCACTCCCGAAGGCCAAGTGCCCCAAAAAGCACATTGCGCCCTTTGTCCCTTGTGCCACCAGTCAAGTATATTCGGTGCCCCTTTCCTGTGGAACCGAGTACATCGGGAAGAGAGGGTGTCACGTCAATGACCGGCTGCGAGAGCACCAGCGGGAGATCCCCAAAGATGAGGCGGACTCGCAACACCCCATGCATGGTGCACCTCAGGGCATGCACCCCGTACACCCCCACCACCTGCGTCCTGGGGGCACACAAGAACCGGTACGGGTGGGAAATACTGGATGCCTCTGCTATGAAAAGAGCGCCGCGCAACATTTTGTCGCCATCACTCGAGCTCTCGGAGAGAAAAATGACCTTCCTGGGGCCAGAGTTGGCAACCTTGATGGCCCGGACTGGCGGGCGTTGACTCAAAGAGTGTTTTCAGGACGAGATAGCTGTCCATGCTAAGCGGCACCTTTTCTACCCCCCCCCCCCCAACCTTCCCTTACTTCCTTTCCCGCCCCCCTCGCTCTTTTCTTCCCCCTTCCCCCTCCCCTTTTTTGCCCTTCCTAGCCCCCTTTCTCTCTCGCTGGTTTCATCTTTCCCACTAACCTTTTCCCCAAATCTTTGGCAGCTCGTTCTTTGTGGCCTGGCAATAAAAAACCTCAATGTGTTGAAAGTCAAAAGATGTTTATTGTTTGTCCTGTCCGTCCTCTTTGTTGAACTCTGTTGTATTTTTACCTCAATCTACCTTTTCAAAAAATCTAACACCTTTTCAATGCAAATGGAAAACAATGATTTCTTAGGATCATATTTGTAGAAAATGTGTGCACTCTTCTTACAACAGATTGGTCTAGCACAGGGGTGGCCAGACAGAATTTAACAGAGCCATAAAAAGAGAACCATTTTAATTAAAGAGCCACATTGAAAAGGGGGCATGTGCAAGTATTTTAACACAAAATTTGTTTGCTTACGCAAATTCTATGTGGAGACTGCCATAAAGAATCATCACGAGTAACCGTCACGAAGAACTGACGTCGTGTAACGTCATGAGGTTATGTGACTGACACCGCGCCCTACCTTGACATCATCTGATGTCCAAGTCATGTGACCTCATGATGTCCCATGACATCTCACACACACCTAGCATGTGCACAGCACATTGAGAACAGAGATCCTGTGCTCCCCAGTCGTGTTCAGCATGATCAGGCTAGTATAATTTTTTTCTTTTCTTTCAGCTCAGTTGGCGGACACGGCAAATTGCACTCATAAAGCAACTGCTCGTTAAGTAACTTTCTTGTGCATCCCCAAACAAGCACCATGGAGTTTAAATACACATTGCGGTCCTGAGTAGCTCAGCTAGGTTTTTGTACGTCAGGGTCGTACGATTTTCTAATTTTACCTCCTTCATTGTTGAAAAGAGTGCCTCATGGCAGCATAGGCATGTTGGCACGAGGCTGCTAAAACGCAAGCCGTCTTATTTTGCACCTCTTTTTTTCTTCTACCCTGGGCACACTTACCAGGAAGTTGCGAGCCGCACTTGAAACCTCGGAGAGTCGCATGCGGCTTGCGAGGTGCTGTCTGGCCACCCCTGGCCTAGTCTTATGCTTTGAAAATTTCCCATTCTTATTATCAACCCAATCATTGCTTTTCTTGTTGGAGTTTTAACTGATATTATGTATATTGTGCCAGTGAGCAGGAATCTAAATTATCTTATAAAAAAGTGGGACCAAAGCAGTATTACGAGCCTTATAATTTTTGTTTACATAAAAATAATATATAGTTTTTCTAGCTTCAACTGACAGGTGGAAAAAGCAGGGTTACCCTTCATGTTATCTTAAACTGCAATTACAATCTAGGGGTAGCCATGGCATTAGTTTCCCCACAGAGCACTCCTGCATCACAAGAAAGTATGCTCAACAAAGAAAAGAAAAAATCTGAACAGCATTATTTCTTTTTCTTGCAAAACCAGGGGTTAGTTATTCTTATGTTATCTAAAATGAATAAGGGGTGCCCCTTCAATATCAAAAATGACACTCTAAAATCTAGAGATAGTCATGACATTAGTTTCCCCACAAAGCACTTCTGTAATGCAATGAAGTGCACTCTATTAAAAAAAAAAATTATGAGCTGCAGTTATGAGCTGCCCCTTATAGACCGTTCCATTAGGGTCATAGCAGAGAGGGTAAAAAGAGAAAAAAATGCCCTCCCCCTCTCGCCCGTATGTCGTCTGCTCCGCCGAGTGGGCAGTACCTAGCATCCGGATGGCGTACAAACTCTGTTTAAAATTGCGTCATTTTGGGAATTTCAAGTGCAGATGTGCAGATTTTGGTATGCCAGTTATCGTGTATTACTATGCTAGATAAAAAAAGACTAACAGAGTCCAATTGCGCTGTTATCTGCGTGCAAATAAAAAAAATAAATAGGGAAAACTGTGTCAGACTGGCCGGTCTCTCCGGCGAAAAGTGAATCCTGTGGCTGTACCTTTTTTACTATAAAAAAAATTTGTACTGGTGTAGGCCTTTAGCGACCATGAGTGGATGTATGAAATAATAAATACAAACGTGCTCTCCTGCCGCAATACACGCAGTAGTTGAGAGTAGTACTGCCGGCTGACTCAACTGCTATTTAAGTAACGAAAAAAAGTTATGTCAGTTGATCATTTACCAAAGTAGAACAGCAGAGAGCTCTAGGCTGATTTTGGAGTAGCCATAACTATTCTAAGAACCCGAACCACTTCACAACGGTAGCCACGAGCGAGAGTTCGATGTTCCGCACAGCCCGCTGATACAGCTCAAAGATGGAGAATGGCAACCTCCCGTTTTGTCGTCAGCTAGCGTAGCCGGGCGCGTACCCTCTCTCTCGTTTTACCCCGCCGAACCTGCTGAATTTCCCGGATGTATGGAGAGGGCGCTGCTGTCGAACAAAATGGTGCCGCCCAGAGAGCACTAAATGGAATGGTCTATATCATCTAAAATGACATCTAGAGAAAATCGTGACATTAGTTTCCCTGCACAGCTTCTCTGTATTGCAATGAAGTACGCTAAACAAAATGGTAAACATGAGCAGCTTTTCATTTTTCAACTCTTTGCTTATATCCAGGTAAATAGTGTCCTGGCATCTAAAACTACAACTTATAAAGTTTGTTCGTAAAGCATTCAGTCATTTTTATAATCTTGCTAACCCGGGGCGCAGCTCCAATGTTTATTGGCCGACCGTCAGACGGGACCCTGCAGCACGTCCGTGAACAATCATATACTTTTTGCCCATTGAATGAGGTAACGCACTGTGTGATCATAAAATTTACTATGAATTAACAAGTTGATCAAGGTTTGCATATATCGTTTTGGTTTATACTTCAATAATCATCACCGGACACTTTCAGAGACAATTCATTGAGCGCTTCGGAGGTGGTTGGCATGCCGTTGAGTGATGCAGGATCCAAAAGTCCCTTCATGGCCAGAATACCTACCAGCTTAAAGTGCGTGTGAGCTACTATCAACAATAACTGCCAAATGACAGTGAGAGAATTAGGAGCTCTGGAGATTCCACAGACAACACTTTCGGAAGTTTTAATGAAGGATTTAGGCATAAAATGTGTGGCGAAAGAAATTCATCCTGTAGTTTCTGTCACAGGATTGGTGGACTGCCACCCTATTCTTTTATTTCAAAATTGGCTTTAACATGGTTGTGCCTTCCCAGGCGATACCAATAGAGGCCTATTATTTTATAATGATTTTTCTTTCTCACCCTAATTTATGTCACAAGAGCAGAACGATTTTTTGTGCTAAAGTTGCACAAGACTTGACTTAAACCACCAACAACAACCCTGTTTTTAAAGAATGTTGTAACTTTAGATGAGAAATGGATTAAGAAATGTGACCCTAAATAAAAGCTTACTCAAGACAATGAAAGTCACCCAAGTTAAGGTGTGCTAGAAAGGGAGGTGTGACGACTGCTAGGGTCTCCATAGGAGCTAGGTGTCGTGTGGCGCGGTACTTCCACAAGCAGCCGTGGGGGCGCCACTTGTCACTGCGCAGCCAGGAGGCCGGTAGCAAAGTGTGTAGCGAGGATGAATTGGTGCATGTCGGCAAGTCTATTTCTTCTTGTTTTGCTTTGTGTTTCATGCGAAGTAATATTGTGTGGCTGATACCTGTTTCCCAAGAGACAAGGGACTCACAACAATGGCAAGTAGTGCGAAGAAAGGACAGAGCGGAGGTGTTTCGTGCCAGGGCGCTACGTGGGGTGTAACTAGGATTCCGTGTTTTCTGAGTTTTTTTTCCGCAACATTTGGAGGTTATTATTAGAATGCAATTAAATGCAAAGGTGCAAGCGAGCTGGACAAGAAAGTCACCTAGCTGTGTTTGGAGATTTGTGTTTGTTCTTTGTCCCTTTGTTCCCCTTCTCCAGGGATTATTTTCATCTTTCTTGTCCAGCTCGCTTGCACCTTTGCATTTAATTGCATTCTAATAATAACCTTAAATTGCAAGCTTCACCCTTGTTGGTGTTAGACTGGTGGCGGCTGATAAAACCCGTTTGCTCTACTGACGTCTAACCCCTGGTTAGCTCAGTTGGTAGAGCGCTCCACCTGTAATGGAGAGGTCCCGGGTTTGATACCCGGACCAGGCGGATTTTTTCGGTCGCTCACCAGTCACCTAGCTGTGTTTGGAGATTTGTGTTTGTCCTTTGTCCCTTTGGAGGTTGTTATTTGGAGGTCGTTTTTTGGAGTTTATATTTTTCCAAAAATTCAGAGTTTATAGGAGCTTATTTATGTTTGATTCCAAATTCACTGAAATTTGGAGCTTAATTTCGCAGGGTTTCTTATGAGAAATAAATGAATAATATCCGGGTGTAAACGTACCCTAGGTAAAGAAAAATAAAACGCACTAACATTAATTAATATTTCTTCAGCTGGATTTGATGTTGGCGCCATTGCCATTGGAGGTACTAACACGTCCCACGGCAAGGGGGAGGGCGCTGAGCGCGGCGTTCGACGACATTGGCTCCCCCTTCGACGAGTCAAATTGTGCGTCTCATTTGCTTAATTGTGGACAAATTTAGTATCAACGTGTTCGCGAGTGGGACAGCTACAAGTGGACACCGGACTCTTGACCATCGGACCAGGACTTTTTTAACTTCGGGGACTTTTCACTCCGGGCGCGGCCGCGGGCCACTAAGCCTACCTGGCGACCATGCCGGTGAGGTGCTCCTCCGAGGCGAAGATGGATGCCAACGTGATTTCCAGGGCGGGAAACAAGGTCGTCGAGGTTCCAGGCATGGATTTGGACCCGGACGACTGCGCAGGATGGTTACAAGTAAGAATCGGCAAGAAAAAAGACCCGAAGAAAACCTAATATCGAGTGTTCATATGACACGTAAAGCGTCGATGAAAACCACGAGGGCCGCTAGAATGCCAAGCATCTTGCCCAAGGAGGAAACTAAGGTCATTGTACGTCCGCGCGGAGGATTGGATCTAGCCAAAACTCCGATAGTAAGTATGATTTTGGCAATTAGGACGGCGGCCAACCTCCCACCGGCCGAGACGGCAATGGATACCCAGTGCTCGAACATACCACAGAACATTATGGTGATCAGCACACCCGACGAGCAACGAGGGAGACGCTACGGCAACATCAAGAGCATCGTGGTCGGAAACAAGACTTACGATGTAGGAGCCTAAGCGGCCACTCCACACGGAACGATGAAAGGAGTAGTAAAAGGCATCCTGCTAGAAGACTCGGCAAATACGATTAACGAGAATATCCTGAATGTATGGAACCCGCTACCTCGAGCGACTCAACGCATCGGTTCGTCGACCACGATCATCGTGGCGTTCGAAGGCCCCAAATCCCGTACTACGTTTATTATGGTGGCGGACTTTTGAAGTGTACCCTCTACCACAAGCATTTCGACGTGTGCCGAGCGCGCGGGAAGGTAGGACACAGAATGGACGTCTGCCCGACTCCAGAGGCTAAACATGCAAGGACTGCAGCAAGGAAGCGAACAGAATCTCCAGTGCAACCCCAAGTGCAACCTCTGTGGGGGACCTCACCTCACCAAGGACAGAACCTGTTCAAACCGGTTCAAGACACCCTACGTCATCAAGTGCAGACAATGGATGAAGACCAAGATGGCGACGCCAAAGGAAAAGGCGGGAAAAGTTTCCGCCAAAACGGAGGGAAACTTCCCAGAGCTGCGGCGCCCGCGCTCCAGGGGGTCGTCTCGCACCCGCTCGAGGAGTAGAAGTAGGAGCGCGGGCGACACGGTGACCTGGGCACAAAAGGCCCAACCGGAGAGCCAAACAGGTCTCGGACTATGTGGACAAGCTTATCACCAGTGCTGCTGTTGGAGATAGCACAGAGTTTTCCACGAAGCTTCAAAGAAATTCTATACACTTGTTTGGGATGCGACTTCGCAGATAGGCACAAGGGATCAGTTGAAGGTAAGATTTTTAAATTTTTATGTAGGCACTTTTTAGAGGATTGATGTGTGGCTACAATTCTGCACAGGTGCCCGTCAAGTCTCGTGCTTATCTTGCTAGTACCTGAGGAAACTGCTAAAATGCCACCAATGAAGAGCTAAAACAAAATCAAAACGGCTGCAAAAAAACTTGGCCATGCTCTGAGAACCTTGAAAAGAAGGATAGGAACAGTCGTGACAATGCTTGATAAACTGAGCAAAATGAAAGCACAAAATGGGCAAATGAAAAAAGAAGCATTTGCAGAATAGGTGAGTACTTTACACTAGGTCCCATATTTTAACTCGTTGCTGTTCTAACATTGAATTCTAAGCCTTATATTTCAAATGGTAGAAAGCTTTAATCTACAATGAATTGCACGGAGCTCGTAAACACTTGAAGGGAAGCCTCTTCGTGAAATGGTTGTCCTAAGAAATGTCTAGTGCCGTTCTTTTGTGTTTATGCTATTTCTAGCTTCAAAAACTGCCAAGAAAGCAACAAAAAGTGTCCGAGCGTGCTTCGAGACATTGAAATGAGCAGCAATGCAAGGTTACAAATATAGCCGCGACTGGTTGCTTGAGTGCATCATCCTTCGCATGACGACTGTTCGACTGCATGAGCACTTGAGACATCATAAAATTCTTGATGCCAGGGCATACATGCTTACTGCAATACATCAAGGTATGTGTTTTTGCCATTTTCTTGTCTTGCGACGAAGTCACACACCGCTATTGAGTTTTACTGCATCTTCAGAACTTCAAGGCTACTTTTGGATTCAACGCAAACCTACTGCGAGCTGTCAAGACAAAGGCTCAAACAATGAAAGAGATGGAACTGCACGGAGGGCTCGTGCTTCATGAACTAAAACTCTCTGCCCACTTGGACTTGCTGACGTCTTCAAAAATACAAGGGTTTGTCGACCTGGGCCCCTTCACTCCCGAAGACCAGAAGTACATCAAAGCAGACAAGGGCCCCGTCGTAATGTATTTGTGGGAAAATGGACGCAAGTCACTGATTATGTTTGTGATAATGCAACTGTTAGGCAAGGACTACACTTGATCGCCCATGACAGAGTTTTGAATTGGTCAAATTATACATATTGTAGACCAGTGGTCTCAAACTCATTCGAATGTCTGGGCCAGACATCCCACACCCGAACAGTCGAGGGCCAACATTAGACGGGGGGGGGGGGGGGGGGGGGGGGGGGGGGGGGGAGGAGAGACTGTGTTCTTTATGCTTTGTTTAAACTCAGTCTTGTTAGTGACATCTTTTAATTTGATTTGTTCATAAGACTACTTTGGGCCTTCATCTGACGTGATAAGAATTGAAATGGCATTGTCCCATGCAACGGCAACGACAGTGTCATTGTTGTTGCTCATTTCACCTAGGAATTAACCAAGCTCAACATGTCTCTAAAATACACAATCAGTTAAAATGACAGTTATTGCTCTCCTGACGATTTTTACTGCAACACTCGAACAAATACTTGTCTTTTAATGGTGATTTTCTTTTAAGGCGAAAATCCCGAGCTCGTTGCTTTATTTCTTGCAGTTGCTCCTGCTGACGAAGAAATCAGGAGCCGAGATACATCCTTCAACAAATAGCTTGTGCTTGCAGCCTCGTACCGAAATTGATGTACATTACAAAAAGCTGGGAAGCAAAATATAAAGTGAAATAAAGGGCAAATGAACACAGATACGTATGAACTATGTGAATATGTTAAAAGAGCAGATATACTTTTTAGGCGAAAAGTAATTGACAGGATGAAATCACTATAGCACGTGCCATTTCTAGCACTCGAGAAATGGGAACGAAGACTCATAGCTGGTTGCCTGCGGGCCGCATCCCAGCGAGTCGCGGGCCGCGTGTTTAGACCCCTGTTGTAGACTAAAGTCAAGATCCGACGGAACAGAGTTCACAGAACCATACCTCTTTCATAAGTGCAATACCCTACAGCTCTTTGTAATGAATGCTCTCCATTGCTTTTCGAATAAATACATCCGGCAACAAGGAAAAAAGTGGAGAAGGTGCAGAAATGGTATGACAATTTGTTGGTCATGTCGCAGACATTTTTAAACACAACCAACGTACTGGGTGGGTGAGATGAAATGAAATGGGATTAAATCAAACTTATTCATGAAAGTTTAGAAATGGAGGTGATGTTTGCATTGATACTTTAATTCATATCGAATCACACATAATGAGCCTAGCAGAGCCAGTTAGGTATTTTAGAATATATTTTTTGTTTAACATGTCTTGTTGAAAGACCGACAACCAGTTCGCACCTTCCCACTTTTCCCTCAATTCTCTCCCTCCTTCTACCTTTTCCACCGTGCAGACACACGCCCCCCTCTTGTAGTCCCTTCTTTTTATCCTTCGCTTTCCACGCCCAAAGACGTAGAGAGGAGGCCCTTCTGGCCTTGCAGAATGGAGAGTCTGGTCGTTGGCCTTTACCATTGTTTTAGTGAAAATGTTTTGTTTACATTTTCCATAGGTGTGTTTGCCTCAACTGGGAATGTCAAGGCCCACCTTTTGACAAGATTTGTCACAGAAGCCATCATCTTGTGCGAATAAGCAGGCATACTTGTGGACTATGTGTGCTGTGATGGTGCCTCTTGGAACCAGGCCATGTGGCATAATTGTGGCGTCCATGGTTCTGACACGTCGGTGCGATGCAAAGTTGTTCATTTGAGTGACTCGACCCGCTCCGTACACTTCATCTCTCATGTGCCTCATTTGGTTAGATGCACACGAAACCAGATGATGAAGACAGGCTTCAGCACACCAAATGGAAAAATGAGACATCCACCATCACTATCAATTATAAACTGTTGTCAAGTTTTATGTAGTACTTTAATCCTCCCACCATGTTGACTTCTGTTTAAATTTTAACATGATAAAAAATTTTAACAGGTACACCGGGAACAGGTTGCAGCGACGTGGAAGTGTGATAGGAGTGACATCACATTGAAGGCAGCTTACAAATTCACCAGGGCTCACATCTACCCAAATGGCTTCGAGAAGACAAGGGAGGACTTGGCCTTTCAAGTGTTCAGCCCCCTGAACACTTGAAAGGGGGGCTGAACACTTTCCAGCCCGTGCATTCATGGTGCACCAGGAGGAGGTGGAACACCAGTACCCAAACCTCAATGTGACCAATGAGTATTGTGGGGACCCTCTCCCTGGCTCCTCCGTTCTCCATGACCTTGCCGCTCCCCGCCGCCGTACTGTAGGGCGCTCCTTCGTTCCCCGCGACCTTCCCGTTTCCCGTCGCCGTCCTGTCGCGGAATGTCCGAGCCCTCCGGGAGGAACAGGGCAAGCGCCCCCTCACCCAGCGCTGACGTCGGAGGATTGGCTCGCAGCAAGGTTCCCGATTGGTCGGTCGGCGGGACAAGGACTTGGGAAGGTCTTAAAAGAGGAACGGAGACAAAGGAAGGGGTCTTTGGCCGCCGACTTCACAAGGGACCGGTCACGGAGGTCATCGGGACGACAGCGACAGGCGGCTCTTCAACGACGTGAGTTTCAGTAAACTGTCCTGAACACACACTGTGTGAGTGACTTCTTGGGGAGCGAGCGAGGCATGTCCCGATCGGGCGTCGATTAGGTAGCGACCCACAGTATGTAGCCGTTATGGTAGAGCTCATCAAGGTTATGACACTGAGATTTCCAATCAGAGCTCTCAGATATGCCTCATCTCACGCAATCACAACTCAGTTCCCATTTTTTTAAAATTATGGTTCAGTACCTGTTACTTAACTGCAGGCTAGGCAAGACCCAAGAAGGTGTGCTTGATAAAGTTCTCACCTATCTAGATGACTGAAAAAGGCATGCCGATGGGA